TAAATCCTGCCCTGGTTTGCCTTACCAAAATGCGACACCTCACATTTATCTAAATTAAACTCCATCTGCCACTCCTCAGCCCATTTGGCTCTTCTGATCAAGGTCCTGTTGTAGTCTGAGATCATCTTCGCCGTCCACTACACCAACAATTTTGGTGTCATCTGAAAACTTACTAACCATACTTCCTATATTCACATCTAAATCATTCATACAAATGACAAAAAGCAGTGGATCCAGCACTGATCCTTGTGTGCACCGTGCTGACTGGTCACAGGCCTCCAGTCCGAAAACATCCCTCTACCACAAGATAGCTCACTAAGAGGGAGAAAATGTCTCAATAAACTTTCAGCTTATTGCATTGTTTGGCAGCTTATTCCTAAAGTAAGTGGCACCTTTGCTGAAACAACAGTTAGGAGGACACACAATTTTCTGAACAATGTTTCCCATTTACCTTACCTCCTTAATTTTTATAATAAGTGCCATATCAGAATTGGTTGCCAGTTTCATTTGCCCAAGATTTTAAAAAAAGACGAAGTTATAAGCAAATTGAATTGTTTAGAAGTAATTATTTTGAATAATTATTTCAAAAGTGATAAGAACAGCCCATGCTGCAAGGATTGTCAATTTGAGAAAGCTGGAAAGAAGTGTCAGGAAGCAATCAATGCAACATGCAAAGGAGAATCTACTTGTACAGGTGAGTGCAAACAGAATCTCCTGTGTAAACGAAATTTTAAGAGTTTCTTGTCAACAACAATTGTGAAATATTTAATTGTGCTTCATAGGCTGCATGAGCCATTTAGACTTTTACTAGGGCTGTGAGGAGGAAAAAAAAACAAATGTAAAGGTGTATTTATGATGCAGCTAGGAATATACAGGCAAAGATTGAGTAGTCTGGCACATGACTTTTCACTCCACTTCCGAAGGAGAGTTGGTGGTTGGAATAGAATATGATCTCCTACTTTATGACACCATCTCTATAGGTCAGCGTTGCAGTGTGCCTCGAAAGAGCTTTTCCTAAAGAGTTAAGCCACAGCTGTATGCTAATTATGGCTGATGACAACATGCTGCTCGATAGCACTTGATATCCTTGCAGAGCCTGAAAAAGCCATTGTCCTGGGAATTTCAGAGATCGATGTGATTGATCGTGCAAATCTGGCTGTTGCTCAGCGCAGCATGACCTAAACCATATAGTGCTACTGGAAGATCTATTGTGATCTCCTATCACAACTAGTCAGCTGTTCACAACTGTGCTGTTTCACTTTACTTTGAGAACAGCAGTCTCTACCAACATGAATCATCAGCCAAGATGAGATATGTTTACCTCCCAGTGCAACTGTTCCTGACAATTTTTTCTACACCTCCTTTTCCAAAGGTATCATTCAGTGTGATTCTCTCTTTGGTGCAAGCAATGATGCAGAAAGAAAAAGGACATTCCAACAATTTGAACAAAGGATGTTCATAAAAATGTAAACATACGGGACTTAAAATGTTAACTGTTTTTCTCGCCACTGATGCTGCTTAGACATGCTGTGTTTTTCTAGCATTCTCTATTGGTTTCAGATTTCCAGCATCTGCAATATTTTGCCTTTATTCATAAAGTTGTAGGTGCCAAAAGAAAAGCTGTTAAGTTAAAATACCCTTTCCTTCATATTGCTGTGACCTCAAGGATGCTTCTAGCTACTTAGCAAGTGTGGAAGTAAATGGCAGGAAATATATGAATTGTGGATATGTCTTAGATGAATGCTAATGTGAAACTCAACTGTTTGAGGTGAGCTGTTTTTGGTTCTTTGTCTTGCTCAACTTAATTAATGAGAGAAGATAAATGAGATGACCTTTCCAGGAGGAAAGGGCTACTAACTGGTTTCTCCTCGAAGCTGCTAGATTGCTACCTAAAAATTGAGCATTAATGTCAGGAGAGCCTTGATAGTGCTCAAAATATTTTTTAGCTTATTGATCAGAAAGAGGTGACTTATTGCACAAGCTGACTGCTAGAATAATTATTTTAAACGGTTCCAAGTTTACTTAATAGATTGTATTCTCTTCATTTAGATTTCAACTCTGATAAAATCGTTTCTTTTTAGGGACTGACCAATTTTGCCCTCCTCCTGGTAATGCTCCAGATGATACCATCTGTGTGGACATGGGAAAATGTTTGCGGGGAGAATGCATTCCTTTTTGTGAGACAGAGAAAGGCCACAGCCCATGTGCTTGTAATGGTGAGTAAAAAGGTTTATTTTGCAGACATTTCTATGGGTACTCATCAACTGCTCAGATACACAGGGTCGCAAACATGATACAAATGCATTCAGTTACAAGGAGGAGTTGTACAAACTTGGATTGTTTTTGCTAGAGCGTTAGAGGCTGAGAGGTAATGTGATAAAATTATATGAAGTTCAGAGGCGTGAATAGTCGGAGTCATTTTTCAGTACGGAAATGTCAAATACTAGGGGACATAAGTTTAAGTGAGAGGGGGAAAATTTAAAGGAGGATAGGCAAGGCAAGTTTTTTTATTTACACACAAGGTGTGGTAGGTGCCTGAAAGGCATTGCCAGGGAATGTGGTTGTACTAGATACAATAACAATGTTTAAGAGCATTTACACAGGCACATGAACAGGCAGGGAATAGAAGGATACATTCCATATACAGGCAGAAAGAGTTATTTTAGAATGGCATCATGGTGGGCCAAAGGGCCTGTTCCTGTCCTGTACTCCTTTTTTTTTGTTCTGTAGAATATGAGACAAGAAGTGACATTACTACAGTTTTTTTTTGTTGTAAAACTTATTTTGGAGTATTTTCCTCCCTAGCCCACAGGGGCTTGGTCTGCTCAATTCCTCGGTCGTGCTGCTGGTTAGTTGGTTGTTTGTTCTTGCAGTGTGCGTGGTGATGGCAAGGTTGCATATATTACCCAACCTTAGTTAACTCAAGTTTTGGTGGACTTTTTTCTTGATGCATTTTGCTTATAATGCTCTAGCAATTGTTATTTGGAATTTTAAGATAATGACCCATAACAATGAAGAAATAACACTTGATGTCCAGGTCAGAACAATGAATGACACGGGGGTGATGGAATTTTTTGGCATTGCTGCTACTTTCTTTCTTTTCAGGTAATTTTTTACAATGTTTAATGTTAGCAACATCAGTACAGTATCAATTGTGGGGGATTTTTTGGGCTTGGTATTGTCTCATTGTTTAATAAAACCCATTCTCTGAGGTGAATACTGATGCAGCACATCAGAAATGGTGACAGGAGACTTGCTCAATGTTGCTGTTCTTTCAGTAATCATACTTTAAACTAGCAATAAAATTATTATTTATTAGAATTCATGGTCAAATGAGGTGTATTGTCATGAAGGAGGCAGATAAATAGAGATTGCAGATATGTTTGTTGGTTTTGGTCAAGTCAGCTACAAACTGGCTGGAATGAAAGTGGTGAATTAACTGGAATATATGTGCGGAATGGACTGCTTATCCTTCTGGTAAGTGAGAATTCTCTAAGGAGAAAAAACGTGTTTAAATGCATCTTTATAAATTGTTTTTTAAGCATATTGCTTTGAAAAGACTCATTCTAGCAACAACAGTATTTTTCAGTACTATAGTCAGTGTTGTTACTGATATCTTTTGATATGTAAAATAAGGGGTCTAATTCTAAAGTGAGTGCTGGAGCAGAGGGACTTGATGTGTATGTGCACAGGTCAAAGTGGCAGTTATAGGTGGAGAGAGTAATTAATAAAGCATACAATATCCTTGGCTTTATTTATAGGAACATAGAGTACAAGAGCAAGGAGGTGATGTTGAACTTTGTATAAGACACTTGTTAGATCCAAGCTGAAGCATTGTGTATAGTTATGGGTGCCACATTATTTGAAATATGTGAACATGTTGGAGAGAGTGGTTTACAAGTTTGGTTCCAGGAATGAGAAACTTCAGCTATGAGTATAGAGTGAAGGTGTTTGGACTGCTCTTCCTTGGAGAGTAGAAGGTTGAGAGGAGATTTGGAGGGGTTTTCAAAATCATGAGCTGGCTGGATAGAGTGGAAAAGCAGAAGCTGTTCCTACAGTTAAGATAAACAAGAATGAGATGATATAGATTTAAAGTGATGTGCAAAAGAGCAAGGGTGATATGAGGAAAAAAACTTGTTCACAGAGCGAGTAGTTAGGGATGGAATACCCTGCCTGAAAATATGATGGAAGCAGGTTCAATTGAGACTTCAGAGGGCATTGGATGATTATTTGGCACGAGGAAATGGTGTCTGTTTGAAAAGTTGGTGTAGGCACGATGGGCCGATAATGATTTTTTGATTCTGAAAATACATGATTTGAATGAACTATAAAAACCAAGTTTTAAAAGTAGCTTTTAAGGTAATTGATTCCAGCTTTGAAACTATACATACAGACTATAACATACAGCTGCATAGATACAGATCAAAGATGTTTCAAGTTTGATGTTTTTTGTTGTGTAAGCATATTTTGGCTGGGATAGTTCTGCTTAATGACTCAAATTCATGATGTATTGCAGAGGTACAGATATTGGATGAGGACATGATTAATTTATGCTGTGATATATCCCAATACAAGTTTTCAAAGTTACCAGTATGCTGTGGTTTTCAGATAAACCAGGCAAATTGTTTACTGACAAAGTCTTTAGTACTAAGGAACTTACTAAAAATAAATGTTATGAATAGCAAATAAAGGCAGGATTGGATCAGACTTGAGCCAGTAGCTATGAAATAAATTGCCAAAACAGCTTTGGAAGAAAATAGCATGAATAGGTTCAATAGATAACAACTGGGTATATTTTAGAGGAAGGAGAATTGAGGAACATAACTGTTTATGGAGGAATGAGAATTGAGGGATATAACTGGTTTTCTTTGTGGAGGAAGAAAGATTGAGAGAAATGGTGTATTTGAAATATCAAGTTGAGAGAATTCTTTTGGAGACAGAATTGTTGGCCAGTTGATCTTAACCTTCCTCAAAATAGTAAAATCGGGAAGTGTCACTGCTGCTCATGGAATCAAGTTTTAACTCGGTCATTGCCTAAAGCCGAGTGGTAACACGGCAATGATGGGCAGTTAGAGAGAATTGAAATCTTATGTGTACATTGAGAACATCCGGTGGATGACTCAACTTCATTTTTTTAGTTGAACTTTGGCATTACATTCTCATCTGACTACTTATGGTATTACTATTTCGTTGAATTGATGTATATTACAATGGTATTCTAAATTATTTTATTGTACTTAGAGACGGATGATTCCTGTAAAGTTTGCTGCAAAGATAATGGAACTTGCAGACCATATGTAGATCAAAACAACAAATTTCTGTATCTGCGCAAAGGGAAACCCTGCACAGTTGGATTCTGTGATGGACATGTAAGTGGTAACTCTTATTACTGAGTGATTATAGATGTATATCTACATTTTATGTGACTTATCGTAATTTTCTATTTAACAAGAACATGTTTACTATAAAAGGTTATTGTCCTTTTGTTAAATTTTTACTACTTTTCTAGCCATCTCAAATTATTTTTGAGCCATATCTTTATAAATCAGTCCAATGGGTAAATCACCACTTCTGAGATCGTAGACTGTTGGTGTTGTCTTAATGCTGGGGTAACCTGCTGGTGCCATGCCCTGGGGTAAATGAACTGCAAACCATATTTGGTAATTGCTTTTAGCTGTTGGACTGTTCTATAGTTCCACATAGTGCCATTTCAGGGTTTGAATGTAACGGACTACCTGAGCAAACCTTGTTTAGTCACTTAGTGTTTCTGTATTCACAACTGGAAGTTCTTTTATTTATTCTTTATTTAATTCTTTGCTAGAGCTAATTAATTAAACTCGTTTTAATAAGATTCGCTTTTTTTTCAGCAACTCCTTACCACACACTGCTTATCTTTCAGGATTATCTATTGTACTCCAAAGTCCTGTAGGGCAGAGAATTCTAAAGACTTACACTTTGAGTAAGGAAATTCCTGCTTCAAATGGCCTGCCTCTTATTTTGAGACTGTCCCCTGGTTTAGACTACCGTGGCCATGGGAAACCTCCATCTTATTTCTAGTTTGTCAATCCCTGTGAGAATTTTAAATGAGATCACCTCTCATTCTTCTAGAGAATATTGGCTCAGACTATTTAATTTTCCCTCATAGGATAATCCTGCCATCCCATGAATTATTTTAGTGAACCCTTTGTTGCACAATTGTATGCAAGTATATATTACCTTTGCAGATAAAAAATGAACATAGTATTCCAAGTGCGGTCTCACCAGTGCTTTCTCCGACACATTTTCTGTCTGTCCCTCTCTCCGTTGTAAGACTCAAGTCAGCAAACACTTTTTAGTAATGATCTGTTCAGGTGGCTTGTCATTTAGCTCAAATCACATGACTACTTGTAAGCGCTGCGTTGAACTGTAACCTTTTTAAGAGAGTCAGACTTATACAACCTATTTTCCTCCACTTTAGGTTCTTGCATAGCAATGCTATATTAAGAATCTTCATCACAGTTGCCTATTCATCATTATTTTAATCATTCAGATACAGACCCTTAAGTTGTTACTTTAAACTTTTTTTAAAATTCTGGACCTGTTAGGACATTAAGTTTGCAGTCACTGTCCCTTCCTGCCGTACTCTGATAGTCATTGCCTTTATGATACCTTGGTCTATTGCTTAGTTATTTCTCTTTGATTTACTCAACCATCTGCTATGTGATCCATTCCCTCATCCATTTAATTTAAATGTTCTGAGGAAGGGTCATTCTACCCAAAACATTAACTCTAATTTCTTTCCACTGGTGCTGCCAGACTTGCTGAGTTTTTCCAGCAATTTCTGTTTTTGTTTCTGATTTACAGCATCTACAGTTCTTTCAGTTTTTATTTCATTTAAAATCCTCTTTACCTTCCTAGTTTTACCACTTGCTGAGACACCGATCCCAATATGGTTCAGTTACAGTTCGTCCCAATGGTACAGTCCTCACTTTGCCTGGCACTGGTTCTGGTACCCCATGCAGGTATCCTGAACAACAACACGGCATTGTGCAGTTTTTGTTTTTTGTTGGCTGCAGAGTATGGTGTCTATTCCCTGACTATACCACTACATTCTTTGCAACTCCCCACTTGGATGATTTCCTGTACCATGGTGCTATGATCAGTCTGCTCATCCACACTACAACCCCCACTTTTGTCTGTGCAGGCTGTAAATACCTCAAACCTTTTGGATAACTACAAAGGCAGAGTCTTCTCTACTTGCAGCTTTTTTTGGGCCTCTGCTCTAGTTGGAATAGTCCTAGAGAAAATGCTGCATTTTTGGAAGCACTGTTTTCTGAATAAGACTGTCCTTTTTCCCTGATCAGATTAACATGGCAATATTAGGAGAAAAGTTTTGAGTTTGTCATGTCTGGTCCAACATTCAGCGTGCTAATTGTTAGGTTATTTCAGGAGTCAGATTTGAATTTGACTTCAGAGTTGGACTAAAATAACAGAAAATAATGGAAATGCCCGGTAGATCAGGTAGCATTTGTTGAGGTCAGGATGAAATTGTAAAAGGGCATTGTGATAGGGTGAAAGGCTGGAGAAATGAATGATGGATGGCGAAAGGTGATGATAATGAACCTGCATAATTGCAATAGCAGAGCCATTACTGCTGTTCCAAAAAAAAGTAATTCTGTAACTTTCATATAGTGTAACTGCAAGAGCCATTCATTGACTTAATGATGGAAAGGTAGCTTAATTATTTTTCTTTCTTCCTACAGGGTAAATGTGAAAAGCAAGTACAGGATGTAATAGAACGATTCTGGGATTTCATTGAGAAATTGGATATCAACACCTTTGGTAAGCTCAAATTTTTATTCTCCTACAATCTTTTATTTCTGCCTCCTCAAAAAATAAGGGCCTTCCCAATAAGTTGAAATTGTGATGTCAAAAATTGATTCTAAACTTTGAACATTTTAAAATCAGTTGAGTTTGGGGTAGATAAAATTATCCATAAAATGAATTATGTCGTTAACATTAAATTATAAATGTGTTGTCATGTTGGCATCACATACTAGACAAATCTTAAAGCTGACCATATGAATTTTTTTTGTCAAGAAACCTTTCCACGTTTGTGACTGTTAATTCTGTCAAAGAGATGAGGTGGTATGTTAGCTACTCGGTTTCTTACATGTATGCTCAAACTCTTGGAAGGGAGAGATTTGCAAACCTGTTCACTCAGATTGTAGAACACACTGTTATTAACTCACCAAGTGGCTGCCGTGTTGTGTTGATGCCCCATGTCAGAAACAAAAATCAGTGGACCATTATGTGCTTGTTTTGTTTTCTAACAAAGGATGAAACTTAGAAAAATGACCTTGTCAAAATTGAAAATGTTTTTTCTGAAAATGTTAATACTTCTCCTTTTATAGGGAAATTCCTAGCAGATAATATTGTTGGATCCGTTGTAGTATTCTCCCTCGTGTTTTGGATTCCCCTCAGTATTCTCGTCCATTGTGTGGTAAGAGAAAGAGATACATTTCCAAACATTTTTATGTTCATTCTTACTTGGCAGTTTGTGCAACATTGGTATCCAATGTTCTGTAGTCAGTTTTGCTTACTCGCACCTAAGAGGACTTATGATGGTGGTGTTCAGAGTTGCAAGGCTGTATTATGGTATGTCAGATGAAAAGTCACTACAGAAAGGAAGACATTAAAAGGGGTTATTTTTCAATAGTGCAAACTGGTTGGACTAGGTAATGTCCTACCAGAAAGTGGTGTAAGCAGAAACCTCTTAAAAGGGAGGGAGATAATATTTTAAAATATAAAAGGTACGCGGGAAGAAAAGTAGGGAAGTGAAACTAAATGTTGAGTTCAAAGGAAAAAACAAGTACTGGAGATTTTCTGAAGAAGGGTCTAGGCCCGAAACGTCAGCCTTCCTGCTCCTCTGATTTGCTTGGCCTGCTGTGTTCATCCAGCTCTACGCCTTGTTATCTCAAGTACCGGAGACAGTTTGGATGTCTGGATGCTTGTGTGAAGGAGAACAGGTAATGTTTTGTGTCTAATATGACTCCTCTTTGAAACTTGTTCATTTCTTGGCCAACTTTTATCTTTAGATGGGGGGAGTTCCACCTAAGGATACCTTTTATGGAGTTCGTGGTTATGCAGAATGTTTCTCAATACAACTACTGAGCTGTGACTAATCTCTCTTTTTTCTTGTAAATACTGTATTCAACCTTTTACAATCTAAGGATATTTCCAGAACAGCTTGTACGTGCCGAAAAGAAGCAGCATTTTGCCTAAATGTTTCTCAGTCAGTTTATGTGGAGGATCAATTGATTTTTAATATGTTGAAATTTCATCTATCGTGAAGGGGCACAGAGGTTATTTAACAGATACTTTTATTCTTTCCCTGTAGGATAAGAAATTAGACCAACAGTATGAAGAGAGCACGAAAACGTTCTTCCCTTCCAGTGTATGTATGACTGAAATTATCTGCAAGGTTTCTTTTCTAGCAGCTATATGTAGTTTTGTTATTTTCATGTCTGTTGGCAGACTTTTAAAGTAGTTCTGATATTTTTATTCAGTACAGAATTAACAAACTTCAATTTTAATAACTGAAGATGTTTCAAATTATTTTCCAGCCGGTTAATTACTTTTGTTTGTAGGGTAAACAGAGCCCATTTTTTTTTTCATTCAGTAATGCCATATGAATAGATTGAACAGCCAGATAATCATCATTTTCGTAGTGGTTGAAAGATTACTATTGGACTGGATATTGGGCCAATAATCTTCTGTTTAAGTAGTGCCATAATATTTAACATTTACCTGAAATGACAGTCAAAACATCACATAAATTATAATTCACGAACATGTTGTAATGCTGTCCTTACCTAAAACACATTTTGCCCATCTTCCTTTATATCCAAAATTTCCTGAAAATAACTGATCTGGGAACTGTGAAGCGATATTGTGCAAAATATAATTGATATTCTGTCACCTTAAAAGCTTGTTAACTGTGTTCTCTGGTGATTTTTTTAAAAAACTGGGACACTTTAGAGATGTGAATCAAAATAGAATTTACTCAGACTCTGCAGGATGAACCAGATGTACATTTCCTAATTTTCTTTTTGTAACTGCATATACCCTGTGACACACAGCCAATAACAGTGGCATACATTTATATAGAATATTTAACTTAGTAACCTGCCTCAAGATGCTTTACATGAGTATTATTAAACGAAATTTACAATAATGCCACAGCATGATATTAGGACAAGGTGGGAAAAACCCTGGTCAAAAAGCCTGGAATAGTGGTGTGAAGTAGCAAACAGGACTGTTTTTCTCACAATAAGTTCCTCCAGCAACAATCTTATGAATCTACTCAAGTATGAAAGAATGTTGTACCTACTGGAGGTGGTACTAATTTTCACATTCTGTCAAAGAATGTTACCACTGTACAACGCTTACCTTGCTGGCGTCAGTTGTAAATGGCTCTGGTCACAGTTAATACCTTCATGCTGTCTCTTACAAGCAGATAAATAACTGGGCTCTTAAGAGATTGTGTATACACCTGAATCAATTAAGCATCTAATTTGCATTTATTTCTTTCTCTTCTTCCCTAAGAGTGCTTACTGATGCTAGGGTGGTTTCACCTTCCAGTATCTTTCACAAATGTTCAGTTGAGAGTCTTGATGGTGAACATTATTAATAGGTTATGCAGAATTGCAACAAATCCATGTTTATTTATTATCGCCTATTGTGCGTAAAGAGTTAGAGTTGCACAGCACAGAAACAGACCCTTTGCTCCAAATTGTCCATGCCGATCAGATATCCTAAATTAATCTAGTCCCATTTACCAGCATTTGGCCGAAATCCCTCTTAAACCCTTCCTATTCATATACTTTCTCGCTACCTTTTAAATGTTGTTATTGTACCAGTCTCCACCACTTCCTCTGGCAGCTCATTCCATGCACGCACCATCCTCTGTGTGGAAGAAGCTGCCCCTTAGGTATCTTTTAAATCTTAAACCTATGCCCTCGAGTTTTGAACTCCTCCACCCTGGGGAAAAAACCTTGGCAAGTCACCCTCCATTTCCAAAACAATGCAACAGCTTATAAAACAGTAATTACTGCTCCTAGAATTTGAGGAAGTCAAACGCTGAAAATACCTCAATAAGGAATAACTCTTACAGCCACAATTTTTTGCCTTCCTCCATCTTGGATTACCCAGAATCCTCACTCACGAAATAGTGTTCAGTATATATACTGTTGCTGAGTTGCCCTCCCTGACCCTCCTATGAAAATTGCTATTACCAAAATTAACTTCTTCAGTTGTCACCCAATAATTCAGCGAAAGAGATATTATGACCCTTCTGGGTTATGTAATACATTTACTTAGGATAGGACCCGAGTGTTTTTTTTTGATTCACTATTCTGAGAATAGTATTAATTGTTGGTGAAAAAGAGTGAGAAACAAGACTTGTTTAAAGTGACTGGATCACAATTTTGCAACCATTGAAGCAAATTTTTGTGTTAACACACCTCCCATTAGTCACCTAGAAACTTTGTTTTCCATGAAGTGTTAACACGTGCATTTTCTAGCAAACCTCATTGATTTATTATCCCTGCCTTGCTACTTTTGACCTTCTTGTTTTTCATTAAAAGGTATTCTTGCAGTTTTTCTGAATAGATAGGATTAATTAGGCAGGGTTTTTTTTTGTTGCATACTTTAATTCAGTGGAAGATAGATTCCCATCACTCAGTGATTCACTGTGAAACATACTGAATTTTAATTTTGGACTCAGCACTGATCATGAAATGTCCAACCATCTAGCTAATTCCCTTAACATGATCGGTTCATAAATAAAGACCTAAAATAATCTCAGCGGAATTACACTGTTATGGAATTCTTGTTATTTACTTAAATTTAGAACAAATGATTTCAAATGGTAGCTGCAACCAAAGTAATTGCTTTGACTGCCCTCAAACATTCTGTTGTGTAAGTAGTTTGGTAATTACAATGTGTAATGTAGTTTTCTGGTACTAAGTAGAAAATCTTATAAAACCTAATAAATCCATCACTTAGATCCGTATTCTAAAATTAAGTGTGCACCCACACTTTATCAATTGGACATTAATAGGATTTCTGCACTCAGGAAATGAATGTTCCACACTTATGAATCTACAATTATATTCAAGAATATTGCCAACAATCCAGTACTAAGATGCTGCATTAGTTTGTTGAACTTGAAATGATATAGAATTGTAAGGTACATGGCTTATTTGTCTCATTCAAGTCTGAAGAAAATGTAACACTGTAAATCTGTAACCATAGGTTGTGAAATAAACACCATAAAAGCAGTTTACTAATGTAAATGCAGTAGAAGTCCATTATAATACACCTGTTGGGGTCCAAAAAGTAAAACTATTGTAAGCTAGACTAAATTTAAATTTTCTTCTATTTTAACCAGTGAAATTAAGCTTTAAATAAAGATTTACCTCTTGGAGCCATGTACCTCCTGCATTCCCCATAAGCAAAAGAGATGTATATTGAATTATAGTATGACAGATTGCTGCTGTATTTTCTGTTTCATTTTAAGTTATTAACTGTAATGGTTATCACATAGTGGGATGTTACTGTGCACAATTCAGAGGTAGCTGTGGACTATAAATTTGATTATTTTAATAAATCTGGAATGAAAATCTAGTGTAATTAATGGTGACCATGTTAACTACAAGATTGTTGTAAAATTTCTAACCGGTGTAATAATATCTCCTAGGGAAGCAAATCTGCCATCTTTACCCGGTTTGCTCTGTATGTGACTCCAGGCCTGCAGGAATGTGTCCACTCTAAACTGACCTAGCAAATCATTCAAATTGTGGAGAAAATTGTCACCTCCAAATTCCTTGGGGTAATATGTGTGCCTAGCCAGTAACATCCCATACTGTGAAAGAATAACAAGGCACAACTACCATAAACACATGTGGTGCTAGTGCAATTCTTGGATGCTTGATTGTAACGTTTAATTTGTTATTTTTGCAAGCAAATGCATTAGCTTGTGAAATATAATTTTTGAAATATTTATGACAGAACCCGGAGATGTTTAGCAGCCTAGAGTCTGCCTCAGTACGAATAGTGAAGTCTCTTCCTCAATCCACAAGCCGTTTTCAACTGCCACCAGCCCCACCGCCACAAGTAACCGTCCCAACAATGGCTGCACCAACAAAAGCTGACCATCATCGGATGGACACTATACAGGAAGATCCTAGTGCTGACTCTCTAATTGGTGAGAGTGGGTTAGATGAGGTTCCTTTTCCAAATAGTAGCCAAGCAGCAAAGTCCTTTGAAGATTTAACAGGACATACTGTCAATAGGAGTGACAAGGCATCTGCATTTAAATTGCAGCGGCAAACCCAGATTGACAGTAAGGAGACAGAGTGCTGAGTTCTTCAGTCAGAGTAGTCTTTTTTTATAAAACTGAATTATTTATCATGCGGCTGCTCTGATTTTTTTTACAAGTTGGATCCATCGATGTGTAAATTTGATATGGTATTTTGCCAACTGTTGCAGTATTTTTTAAAACAATTTGTTTCTGACTTAAGACTCTCATAACTGGCCCTGAAGAATGCAACTCTGATTCTAAAGTTTTTTAAAATAAATAAATTTGGCCCAAACACAACTAATGGCAAATAACGAAATTCAACTGTAGTTGAATTAATTATAATGTTCAGTGCATACCTGGACAGTCATCAAGTCTTGCATGTAATGCAAGTATTTTTCTTTCTTAAAAAAAAATTGACATTGCTATTTGAAAGGACTGATACACAGTTTGTTAGCTTATCACATTTATAACTAACACTTCAGACTTTTTACCCCGTATCAGTACTTGCAAGCAATGTGGGCAGATTGCTGCAATTTTTGTAATGATTTAAGCTTTTGTGAATATAAAAACTTTGGGGAACTGTTATGATAGCATTGTACTTTAATAAAGTTTGGATTTTTAATTAATTTGTCTGTTTTACCAATGAACCTCGAATATTGGGGGTGGGGGAAATAAAACTATAAAATATAAGAGCGGAATTAGGCCATTCACCCCATCAAATCTGCTCTGCCATTCGGTCATGGTTGATATGTTTCTCAATTCCATTCTCCTGCCTATTGCATGTAACCTTTGATCCTTATATTTTTAGAATCTACCTACCTCAGTCTTAAATACACTCAATGACTTGGCCTCCACAGCCAGTGAGTTCAACTGATTCACCACCTCTGCCTGAAGAAATTCTTCCTCGTCTCCCTTCTAAAGGGCTGACCTTTCACTGAGGCTGTGCACTCAGGTCCTAGTCTTTCCTACTAGTGGAAGCAACTTCTCCGCGTCTGCTTCATCCAGGCCTCTCAATATTCATTAAGTTTCAATCAGATTCCGCTCCCCCTCCCCCACCAACAAACCCAGCGTTTTCAACCACCCCTCATATGACAAGTCCTTCATTCCAGGGACCATTCTTATGAATCTCCTGTGGACCCCCTCTAAGGCCAGCACATCCTTCCTTGGATACGGACCCGAAAATTGCCCACAATATTCCAAATATGCTCTGACCAGAGCCTTTATATAGCCTAAGCAGTACATCTCTGCCCTTGTATTCTAGCCCTCTTGAAATGAATGCTAACATTACGTTTTCTAACTATCAACTGAACTTGCAAGTTAACCTTAAGATAAACTTAAACTAGGTCTCCCAGGTCCCTACGTACTTCAGATTTCTGAAAGCTTTTCCCTGTTTAGAAAATAGCCTACCCCATTCTTCTTCGTACCAAAGTGAATAACATCACACTTTCCCACATTGTATTCCATCTGCTACTTCTTTGCCCACTCTCCGAGGCAGTCCAAGTCCTTCTGCAGCCTCCCCATGCCTCAACGACACCTGTCCCTGTACTTACCTTGTCATCTGCAAATTTAACAATGCCCTACAGTTCCTTCGTCCAAATTGTTAATGTATCACATGAATAGTTGTGGCCCCTTTGAACTTCAGGATGGCAACTGGTGACTAGCGATGGCAAGGATAAAGACCTCTTTATCTCCACTGTTTGCCTTCTGCCAGTCAGCCATTCCTCTGTCTATACAAGTACCTTGGCCCTAAAACCGTGGGCTCTTACTTGGCAGCCTCCTGTGCAGCAACTTGTCAAACCTTTTGGAAATGCAAATAAATCATGTACAATGGCTCTGTTTTGTCCAATTTCCTTGTTACCACCTTCAAGGAATTCTAACAGATTTATCAGGTATGATGAAGCGATGCTGACTCAGTCCTATTTTACAATGCACTTCCTACTAATCCGCAATCTTTTCCTTAATAATGAACTCTTAAAATCATACTAACAACTGGAGGTCAAGCTAACTGGTCTATATGCTCTAAATAGGTTATGTAAGTATCACTAATTATTCAGAATGATAATCAGTATGGAAACTTCTATTACTATACGAGTGAAATTTTAAGAGCAGAGTTTTGAAAATGACAGGTGGTGAGAATGATGTGACTTTATTGATCAGGCCTGTCACTATCAGTCAGGTTGTTTGCGAGGATGGCCACGAGTCTGAAATTAAAACAAACCTGAAAATTGTTTGCCGATCTAGCAGGAGGTCAGTTAGCTCAGTAGGCTAGACAGCTAGTGTGTAACATGGAGTGATATCAATGGTGTCAGTTCAATTCCTGCACTAGGACTCTCCTCCTTAACCTGGGAAAAGGGAAAGAACAGGGGAATGGGACAAGTTAGAATACTCTTATTTTGGGCGGCACGGTGGCTCACAGCGCCAGGGACCCGGGTTCAATTCCACCCTCGGGTGACTGTCTGTCTGTGTGGAGTTTGCATGTTCTCCCTGTGTCTGCATAGGTTTCCTCCCACAGCCCAAAGATGTGCAGACTAGGTGGATTGGCTATGCTAAATTGCCCTAGTGTTTAAGGATGTGTAGATTAGGTGAGTTATAGGGGTCTGGGTCTGGTTGGGAGGCTCTGAGGGTTGGTGTAGACTTGTTGGGCCAAAGGGCCTGTTTCCACACTGTAGGGATTCTATGATCTACAGTATTTTGTTTTTGTGTTAACCCACAATCTGAATGGATCTACTCAAGCTGTCTCTGTACAGATATTGAGCTTCTTTACAGACCTAAAGACGAGATTTTTAGTGGGTCGTCAGCCACCACCACCTCTCAGTTAAGTTAAATTTTTGAACTAGAATCATCATAGATGTGTTGTATCAGACCCTTAGGCACACAGTATTGGAAAGAAGTGGGATTAAAACAGGCATCTATTCTATTCCACGAGCACAGACATAATAAGTTCATTCTGTGCGGTGACTTTGTTTTAGTTCTATGCAGACAAGGATACCAACAGTAGGAAGTTACAGAAACTATTGGTATTTTTTAATGAGAAAAGCTGCAAAGCAATGAGATCCACATAAGATTGTAGCAGTAATTTCAAATTGTTACTTCAGCATCACTTTATTTTGAAGCTTTTACATGTTTCAGATATCCGTGTATTATTCATATCTTTCCTTTCATTACTCTTATGAAGCAAATGATACTTAATTGAAACCTAAAATATAAAACTGGAATTCATTTGCTGCCTCCTGAAAAGTTTCCGTCATACAAATGTGTCTTGTATGTTTGCTGTCACTCTTCATAACTGCTCCTGAGGTCCATACATATTCCATTGAAATGTTTAATGTGTTGAAACCCTCTGTGATTAATTACACCAGGAGGCTGGCTTCAGGATTCAGGTGATCGATGTTACTCCAGTGAGGCAGAATCATTGGTAGTCTTTCAGTTTTCTTTTCCAGCAGGGTCCATAAATGGGTTTCCAGAAATTTATTCCCTTTCTCTGATAAATGCAGTCCATCCGAAAGGTAAGAGGAAAAGTCCTGTATTGCGTTTTTAAAAGAAAGGGATCTTCAAAGTTATGTGTAGTAGTTATTCGCAGACAAGATGGCTAGCTGTGTTTTGGAATGTCTACAGCTGCAGCAGTGTTGAAACATAAATTGAGTTTAGGTAATTGTATATTGGCAGTATGGTAGTATTTCATGCTTCAGTTCTACAGGGCATTTGTAAAACCACGGTTGCGACAGTGTACAGTACCGGTCTGCTTATTTAAAAAAGGGTGTAAATGCGTTGGAAGCAGTTCAAAGAAGGTTTACTAGACTAATACCAGAAATGAATAGGGTTTGCTTATGTAGGAAATCTATACAGGCCAGGCTTAAAGAGGCAGTTTCCTCTTGCAGAAGAATCCAGAACTTAAAAGGTCACTATTTTAGGAAAAAAAAGTCAGCGGTCACCCATTTATGACCAAGATGATACTCTTCAAGAGGCAATAGAAGGAGAATTCTTGAATATTTTTAAGGCAGAGGTAACTAAATTCTTGACCAGCAAGGGGATAAAAGATTATTAGGATAGATGGGAATGTGGAGTAACCAGATCAGCCATAATCAAAAAGTGAAGTGGCCATATGCAGTGTTGTGTCAGGAAAGCAGGACACTTATTAAACCATAATGCAATCAAGAATGAATTCTGGTCAATCAGATTACTGACATGCATAGAAACCTGCTGATGATTTCAAAATCCAGAATTTATTTTCTTTAGATTGTAAACTTGGTAGGTTTAGCCAAATTTAAGCAAGGGTGAGGAAGAACTCTCTTGTCGTATTTGCACGCAAAGTTTTTCATGAGCTTTAACATGCTAAAACTATGCTGTATAACCCTAAAATGGTTTCCTGCTGCTTGTGCAACTAGAACCACTGTACTTTTAGTGCATTAACTTGCTAGATTATCTGTACTAGCGTTGACAGCTTCAGTCTCCGCTGCTCCAAGTTTTATTACTGAGTCAACAACTTGGCTGATAAACCATCAATCTATGGGATACACCACTGCATAGTACAATCCAATTAGTTTATTTCTTGGAACCTTTTTACGCAAGTGCAGGAGATGCGACACTTCACATTTTACTTCCACTCTCCTCACCCATTCAAGGCCCAAACATTTCTAAGTGTTACAGCTGTTACCATGAACTTTTATTGTATTTGCTGCTCATAATATGGTCAACTTTATACTGAAGACACTAAATACAGACAGAGACCATTTTATGGAACACCTCTGTTCAACCTGAAAGTGTGACCCCGAGCTTCTGATCATCTGACATTTTAATTCTCCACACTGGGGCGACACGGTGGCTCAGTGGTTAGCACTGCAGCCTCACAGCGCCAGGGACTCGGGTTCGATTCCACCCTCGGGCGACTGTCTGCGTGGAGTTTGCACATTCTCCCCGTGTCTGTGTGGGTTTCCTCCGGGTCCTCCGGTTTCCTCCCACAGTCCAAAGATGTGCAGGCTAGGTGGATTGGCCATCCTAAATTGCCTGAAGCTTTCATGGGTGTGTGGGTTATAGGGGGATGGGTCTGGGTGGGATGCTCCAAGCTCCAAGGATCGGTGTGGACTTGTTGGGCCTAAGGGCCTATTTCCACACTGTAGGGATTCTACGTTCTATGAATTCCACTGTCTGTCACACTAATCTCTGGGCTCTGTTACGATCAACATGATGCACTGCAGCAGCTCAGAAAGGCTCTCCTAACAGCACCTTCCAAACCCACAAGTCTACCAATAAGCACAAGGGCAGCAAGTACATGGAACCAGCACCTACAAGCTTCCCTTCCAAACACTGATTGTTCACATTGCTTCTTATTGTTTCCTTACCTGATTTTTCATTTGCATCAAGGTGCAGAGATCAAGCACATCAGTTCCACATTCTTTTGCTACCTTGACACAGACCCCAGCGTACTGGTTGGTTACTGAATTATATCTGTTTAATTTACTACCTAAAAGAAAAGTCAGAACTGAAAGTTATTTTTCATTGTAATAGATGATGTTATCAATAGCAACCATATTTACAGTTTGAGGAACTTTGAAGCACATCTCTGGTTTATCAATGCTGAATCAGACACTACAATTAGAAGGGGGAATGTTAATTGGATACTTTGTTCTGGGAAGAAGCGACTTCTCTTAGTCTAAATACTACAAAGTCAGGTATTTATATTTATATCCAGAAAGTAGCACAGAATGAGCCTCTGCTCTGGCACTATTCCAACAAGTTTGATATTCTTAGAGCTTGTGTAAATGAGAGTAGGGATGATCAGCAAACTGACCATGACATGATGGTGCTGGGTTTTTTTTCAACTGAGGCAGTTAAAGGAATGTATAAGTAAAAGATGGTAAAGTAAGGTTAGAGGAATAGATGCTGTTTTCTGCACTTGAGCAAGAATTCTGAAAATTTGAGAGGAAGGACAAGGCAATAGTGCAGGGTAGCAATATGAATAATAAGAACTAAAGTGTAATGGGAAAGGATAAAGCATGCAAACATGAGTGTGCCAGAAAAAAGGGTGAAAGATTTCTTTATCTGAATATACATAGTATTTGAGCAAGATTCATGAAGGAATTCATAATGACAGAAATAAGTAGGTATGATGATAGCCATAATAAAAATATGGTTGCAAGGTGACAAAGGATGGGAATTGATTATTCAAAATTTCTTGACAGTTTGAAATTGAGGTGGTAGAATTGGTTTGTTACTATTTAGGATGAAATTGGTACAGTAGTGAGAAATAATCTTCTCAGTAGGGGAAAGAAATCAATTTTGAATGGTGGTAGGTCCCTCAATAGGGTCTAGTTAAGGATATTATCAAATTGAAAGAAAAGGTATATAAAACTGATGATTTGTGGTATGCCATAAGACTGGCAATATTTTAGGAACCAGCACAAGATGGATTTAAAAAAAAAAAAAAGACAATTCAATAAAACAAAAATTAGACTGAGAGTTTACTAACAAAACAGTAAGAGCTTCTACAGGTATATAAAAATAGAGTAGGTGAAGTGCACATTAGTCTGAAAGGATGGAAGACATCAATGTTTATATTTATATAGTGTCTTTCACATAATGAAACATTCCAAGGCACTTCACAGGGACACTGTTTAATAATGTATGACACATAGCAAATGACCAAAACATTTGCTCAAAAAGTTAAAGTTTAAGGAATGTCTTAAATAAGGTAAAGAGACAGTCATAAGGAGAGAATTCCAGAACTTAGCCTTAAGCAACAGGAAGTTTGAGAGAGAGCACAAGAGACCAAGAGGAAAGAAATGCTTCTTCCTTACGTTCACAATTTATTCACTTGTAATTACACCTAAAGGAAACAATGTAGGAGCGGGAAAAGGCTATTCAATCCAATCATCAAAGATTTCAATGCCTTTTACTCACCCCAACCCCAGAATCCTGTATGCTGCTGCTAATCAGAAATTTATCAATCTCTACCTTAAACATACTTGAAGACTGAGCTTCCCACAGCCCACTGTGGTAGAGAATTCTGAGGTGCACAATTCTCTGTATAAAATACTCCTCATTTCAGATCTAAGTGTGTGAGTTAATGGTGGATCTGAATTCAGTAAAAATCTGGATTTAAAAGCTGGCCTAATTAATGATTTCAATGTAACCACTGTTGATTGTCACGAAAACACATCAGGTTCACTAATATTCCTCGGGAATGCAAATCTGCCATTCTTACCTGGTCTGACCTACATGTGACTCCACACCCACAGCAATATGGTTGCTTCTGAAATGCCCTCCGGACAATTGGCAATGGGTAGTAAATGCTGGTCCAGCCAGTGATGCCCACATCCCATGAATGAAAAAAAAATGTGACTCCCCTTATTTTTAAATTGTGACCTCTGGTTCTAGACTCCTTAACTAGGGGAAACCTCTTATAAAATACTTAAAGGGATAGACAAGTAAGTTTCAATGAGGTCACCTCTCCTTCGAAACTCTGGGAAAACTGGGCCTGTATTCCTTAATCTTTCTCTTCATAGGACAGTCCTGCCTCCCCAGGAACCAGTTTGGTGAACCTTCACTGCACTGCTTTTATGATGATGCTATCTTTCTTGAGATACGACCAAAATTGCACATAATCCAGACAGAGTTTAACCAAGCTCCTGTATAATTGAAGCAAGACCTCACTATTCCTGTACAACTCAAATCCTCTCGCAATAGAGACTAACGTTTCATTAGGTTTTCTAATGTCTTGTCAGCCTCAAATGACTTATCAACAATTACACCTAGGTCCCAGCATTCCCTAGGCATGGAACCAGAAGTCAATGATGTTCTCCATGTTGGTATGCTGATTGCTGTGCATGGAATGTTGGAGCAGTTGTGCATCCATAGCCATGCAGCTTAGATGGAATGTTGCCTGGCCCCATTATACATCTCCACTATCCAACTTCTTACCATTTAGGAAATACTTTGCACATATGTTTCTACTACCAAAGTGGATAACCTCACATTTTCATCTGCCATGTTCTTGCCCATGCACTACGAGTGTCCAAATGCTCCTTAAGCCGCTTTACATCTTCCTCACTACACACACATCTCCATTTAGGTGTGTACCACTTGATACCCAACTCCACATCATTGATACATATTGTGAGCAGCTGGGGCCCTAGTACTGGTCCTTAGGGTACTCTATTACTCACATTCTACCAATGAAAGAATGATAGTCATGCCTTTTAATGTATTTGTGTTCAGGCCTTCATTATTTCCTTAATTCAGATTTAACACCCTTGCATCAGAATTAACTAGCTTGCTTTCAAACATAATGTAAAATTCTATCATATTGTGCTCACTCATCCCTAAAGGTTTTTGTTTTACGTCGATGTCAAGTAGCTCATTTTCATTGCCTAATACTAGATCAAAATTAGCACATCCTGTCCTGGTTACTATGCAGCCATGTTTCTGTAATGGCAATTAGATCATACCCATGTATCTTTGTGACTTTAAGATCACCTACCTTGTGAACGTGCGCAGCATTCACATAAGAGTACAACAGAACTGCTGATAAATTTAGAACATACACATTTTAAAAGGGAATAAGTAACATTTTTACATTTTCTACAAAGTTCAAAATAATCTAAATTGGTAGCTGGATGTTTGAGGTCGGAGTGTACCTTGAGACTGATTTCTCAGGTGCTTTTCTCTATCCAGTAACAATCACAGGAACTAGAGATTCTAATGATGCGAAGTTTGTGTTTCTAGCTTGTGCATTTGAACATGTTTATGTTACCTTTGGCAATGCACTCCTTTTCCCAAGCTGATTCATCCAGTGGAGATGGAGTTATCATGATCACCTTGTCTTCACAAATATCTATAGACTTCAGGTATTGGACTATACGTTTCAGATTCTCAGCATACTCGGTGATAGGAATATGTTGCGCTGGATTTATATCTAGTCTCACAACAAAACAAAATGATAAATCACCAGAGTGCAAATCATACACTGAAGCTCTCTACTCAACTATTCCACCTTTCAGTGTAAACAAACTCTCCATTTCTGAAATCTCTTATGAATGCTTTATGGTACAGTCTTTTCCAACATACCTGTCAATATTTTTTCCCCCCAAAAAGAAATTTAAAACCATATAATAAATTTATGTAATTTCTACATTGCCTTCAGTTTGATGGTTTTAAGGACTCTGGAACAGATTTGGTTTTAAAAAAATTCACTTTTAAAAAAATTCACTTTTATCGATTCCTTTCTTTCCCTTCTGTCCTCTTCAGTACGCTGTTCCTATGCTCAAAAAAAAACTGCTCACAACCAATCAACAAATGATGTGAGAAAATAGTCTTAAATCTTATGGATAACAGTTATTGCTAAGTAGATGTGTTTCTCAGCATTGTTTTTCAGTGAAAAACTTCTAAATTTATCACTTTTTAATTTTTTTTTGCATTAATCCTAAGTTTAAGAGTCAAGGTGGGGAAATCTAACGACTTGCAACATTTTATAAAACAGCCAGGATCCCCACCTTGTTTCAGGCTCTTTCCTGTGATTGGATGATGCATGTTTCAATTTCAGGTCTGTGCTGGAAAGCTGTCCCCCAATGTGCAAGGGAATTAAACTTATGTTATAGCAAAAAAAAAAATGCAAAATTCCCAGTTGCAATCACCATGCTGTAATTCCTGCTGGAATGGAGCAAAGCTGGTAATCAGGTGACAGCAATATTGGGTTTGGCAGTGATAAACAAATATACCACCGAGTTAAATAGTTTGTTTACACCTGTTGCAACAAATATTTTGATATGCTGATATTTGTATTTAGCACACAGCTGCATCACACTTAAAACATGGTTCTCGTCAAGGTTTGGGAGCCAATTACAAAAAGTTTCCTGCGTGAAAGAAAGAGGAATTTTATTATCTTTTTACTGGAGAAAAAGATAATAAAACAAACACAGGTAGTAAGCTTAATAATGAGGGAATGTCTGCTCGAGACAGGAAGATTTTTTAAAAATAATTCACTCCTGGGATGTGGGTGTCACTGACTGGGCCAGCATTTGTTGCCCATCCCTAGTTGCCCCTGAGAAGGTGGTGAGCTACCTTCTTGAACTGCTACAATTAATGTGCTGTATGTGGACTCTCAGTGCTGTTAGGGAGGGAATTCCAGGCTTTTGATCCAACAACACTGAAGGAACAGCGATATTTTTCCAAGTCAGGGTGGTGTCTGACTTTGAGGAAAACTTGTAGTTGATGTTCCCATTTGTCTGCTGCCTTTGTATTTCTAGATGAAGTACTCTAGGCCAGGCAAAGGCATCCACTAGACCCAAAACATTAACTCTGCTTTCTCTCCACAGATGCTGCCAGACCTACTGAGTTTTTCCAGCAATTTCTGTTTTAATGTTGGCTCACAGTTTTGTTTATCTCTCATTGATTTCACAAAGCTTGCCTCAGTCTGAAAAGGAAGAAACATGAACATCAAATAGCTGCAGTCACATGACCACTGCAGCTATTTGATGTTCATGTTTCTTCCTTTTCAGAACCATTTCAGTCTGTGAGGATCTGAGGTATTAAAATGAATATTGAGAGTCCATGTTTTACCACTGTTGTAACACACTGAACACAAATGGTGGGCCTGTATCTCATGCTCTAAGTGAGGATAACAACAGCATAAAAATCTAAAGAAGAACAGATTCCACCAACAGCTGACTGTTTTGTGGGTTGCTGGCAGTCAAGCCCAATTGTACATTCATTTAACAAACACACATAAACAAGAACACTATAAATAATGATCTCCTTCTGATTTCGGTCATACTGGGATCAAGTGCAGAATCCTGATGATTACACCAGCTGGGATCAACTAACAGCATAGCCTGGAAATCAAACTTAAGAACTTGCTTATGGTTAACTTCAGCTTTGATTGTGTTTCTACTCAGCTGAGTAACTAGGATATTTCTAGCTGACATTTGCTAAAAGCTTGAGATACAGCAGTCTGAGAGCAGAGGTACTGTGTATAATACCTACCTTTCAGGGCAGAGTCATTTGCTCCAAAAAAGACTGCAACAGCAGCAATTGTTTCTTGGTCAGCAGGTTGAGTAATAATTTTTGGCAGAACAGTTAGGGCCCACTTTGTGTTATAACCTGATAAGCCACGGTTCAGTACATCACACTTCCTACAAAAATAGTTTATAATTTATTGTGGTAAAGTAATAACAGGAGTTGTGTTATATACACTCAAGGCAAGAAATCCACATTACAATTATATATACTGCTTGCATACTCATTCTTGGAAATTGTTCCATTTTTCTGGCAGCAACTGTCATAATCATATCTATGACTTTGAGGTTTGACTGCTTTAATGCTCTCCTTTAACAAATCTTTAACCATCTACAATTTGATATAGAACGTCACAACCCACTTCCACTCCTGCTTCCCTTACTTTTCTTCACAGATGCTGCCAGACCTGCTGAGCTTTTCCAGCAACTTCTGCTTTTGTTCCTGATTTACAGCATCTGCAGTTCTTTCGGTTCCCTTACTTTTATTCTCACCAGGATCCTCTGTTCCCTTCTGAATCAATTTTAAGATCAAACCCCACCAAGCACCTCCATGACCAAGTGTTACCTCAATTCCTCTTGGCTCAATATCCTCAATTTCACAAGCCTTCACAGCTTTGATACTGTGGTATTTCCCATTCCATCTTCT